AGCACATGCAGTTTCTAATCCCATGTTGTCAGAGATGTTCAATGTTTTTTGAACGTCTGACAGAGATGTTGATCTAGAAGATGTTTCTGAAAACGATTAACCCACCTCTAAGAGAATCTCAGCTGAAACATAATTATTTTACTAGATACATAATACAGGTCACAGGCAAAAAGGCAGCGTCAGCATGGCTATGAACACAGAGTGCCAGAGTTAAATCTCTGCTTTCTACTTCCTTAGGATGGAAAATGATACTGAAACAGAATCTCCTGTACCACTGGATGATTTAAAATCTGTTATGAATGGAAATGAAGAAGATGAAAAACTTCAAGTTAAAATACAGGCTTTTGAAGAGAAAATAAATGTTGACAACAGTACTCCTGGCTCAGTGCGGAGATACAGTTTAGGCCAGGTTTCTAAAGAAGAAAGGAAGGATATGAGATTTAACAGGTATGGCTCTGTAAAATGTGTGAGTGGTTTTCATGAATATCAGTTTTGTAGTAAAACTTTATCCGAACACTGAGAAATTGGTCCACTTGCCCGATACTTACTATGGGCATCATAAATCTAATTTTAACCAACTCTCATATCTGTGAATTTAGAGGATGGATAAAATCTTTCAAAATTATTTCTTTAATCGCTCTGTGCCCTAAAACAGCACAAAGGATAGGAAAATATTTGCATACAGATATTACTAGAAAGGAAGATACAGAGACCTTTCCCGGGTATTACTGCTAACAATAGATACCAAATGTTTGAACCAAATTTTGCCCATCGGCTGTGTGAGGGGAGCGCGACTCTTCCGGGACCCTGGGTGAGATAAGGGCTGAGACAGCCACGGTGTCCTTAGGCTGCCTGTGCACAGCAGAGCTTTTCTCTTCCTACTCCAGTATTTGCCCTTTCAGTCGCTTCGTTTCTACCCTACTACGGAGGGTAGAAATATATACTACTAATATACTTTCTACTCTTACGGAGGCTTAACTCCATCCACAGCATGTAGGTACGGGGCAGTGAAGGACCGGAGGCTGAATCTTGGTTCAGTTACATGGCTGCTGGATGGCATTTTTACGATGTGATCAATAAACTTATTCTCCAGTGCTGGGGGTTATAAGTTTCTTGTGGGTAGGTTGACCAACACCATCCGTGGCATGCAGATGTTGTGATACATGGATATTATTTAGTTTCGTTTGCTTATTAAATCCATGGTTTGAGTTTTGCTTTTGAAATGCATATTTATCAAACGATACTTGTCTCTGCCGAAATGAACCCCGTGCGCAGCGCTCTGAACCAGCTGCACAGGGGTAGCTTGGGAGAGCACATGTTCAGAAGATTTTTGTGTCTTACCTCTATTCCAAAACATTTTTCCTTTCCTTAATCACCTTCCAGGTCTAAAAGCCTCGCTTTGCATGCAGTCCGCATGAAGGGGGTAAACTCAGAGAGTGGACAGGATGAGGAGAACGGGGAGATAACTGCCGGTATCTCCTTGACTGAAATCTACGTTAGCCAAGAAAATGACAAATTGCCTTTTAGCGTTGAGACTGAAGCAACGCAACTGGGAAATTCTTTGGTTTCACACCAAAGCATCGATTACATGGAATCAGGAAATTTGCCAGGGTCTGCTAAAGAAAAGGCCAACAAAGGAAGCACAGAGGCTGTGACGAGCCCTGTGGAATACCAGGACAAGCTCTACTTGCACTTGAAGGAAAACCTGGGTAAAGTGAAAGCATATGTCATGGAGATGGGGAGGAAAATTCCCATTCCCGATCAGTGTGTAATTGAAGGTAAGAGGTTTGAGCCTTTCCGATTACGAGAACTTTAATACTATACTGAAAGTCATCATGGGGTTCAGGCAGACGGGCAGCAAAGATCATCTAGCACAGAGCTCATGGATGGAGAGGAACATTTTATAAGCTGATGTCATTCACAAATTGTAGTGATTTGAAACCTTCCAGAACTGTTGTTGTTCTCCTTCAGGGATATAGTGCAACCCTCACCCACCCCAGACTTCCATGAAGATTAACGTGAGGATTGCCTTTTGGCTGTGATAGGGAGCAAACCCAGAGCTCTCTGGAAAAGGGCATGACCTGTCATACTGAGCTGAAGAGCTGTGGCTGTTGGCTAGGGCTGGCAATACCTCTGGGCACATCTGCAGGGTAGGCATGCAAGGGGAATGTGCCTCTGCCTTTCTCCTCCTGACTGTCACCCAGCTCCAGGCTGTAGGTTATGGAGCTCTGTTATGGAGCATGGAGAGTTGAGTGCGACGGAATGCACGTGCCATGGGTCAGACTTGGCCACGCAGGCATATGGGTAAGCACATGCTAATATTTAAGCCTCCTTCTTGGCCTCCTGGGTTGGTCTAGAGCAAATCTGGGTATCCTTCCTCATTAATATGAAATCAGTTGCCTTACAGGATACACCAGAAATGAAGCAGGTCAGGACCCTCAGGTCAGCACATTCTAGCCCAGACACAAAGCTCCTTGAAGGCACAACAGGATGAGTTCCCCTGTGCTTCGGGTTGGGTTGGATCCTATCTCACCACTTCCCTGGGGTTGTTTAACGTTGCTTGCTTTCATCAAGGGTGGGTATTTGTTTTCAAGTGCGAGAAAGCTGGTTTTGTGAGACTGCGGGGGAGATGGACGAAACGCTGCAAGATGGGTCTTTGATACTCCTCTTTGAAGTAAATTCTTTAGGTTGGGTTGTGAGCCTCTTGCTTATGCTGAGCAGCAGTCACTCCTTTAATGTGAATTTGTGTACATCTAACCACTTGCTGGTGGTCATGAGCAATTTACAGCTCAACCCTTCAATGGGCTGTTTTGATTCCATAGAGTAGCTGACTCAATAAATTAAATTAATTTGCAGTCACTTAAAATGTCATCTTCTAATATTACGTAACTTCAGGTCCATCAAATATCAACTCTGATAAAATATTTATTTGTTTACTTTTTCAGTGGTCGGGAAGTTGAAAAGCAGTTTCTACTCCTCAAAGGGATATAACTATATAAATTTAAAAACTTAGGTTTCTGAAAAATTTCCTAAATATCTTAAATTCCAGGCTTACTGTTTGAAATGGTTATTTGGTAGAATTAATGATAAAACTTTTGTTTCATGAAATTGCAGTGGAAACATAAGAGTGAACAATCTGGCTTGAAGTGCTGAATGCTATGACCTTGCATTAATCAAATACAATACCTTGAATATTTTGAAAGGTATTGCTCAGTTTCCTTTCTGAAGTACCTATTATGATATGTTTTAAGTATGTGACTATTTCTAAATTCACTCAAACTATTGTAATTTCCTGAAAATCCTCCACTAACATTCTTAGGGAAATTCTTTGAGTAAGGACACATGTGCAGAACAGGAGATTTATGTGACTCATTCTAAATATGTTGAAGAAATGCAGTCTGGCTCATTACGCAGGGGACAGCTTCATTAATATTTCAGATATTACATAAACCGCTCCATCAAAACTCTTGCAGTTACTGGACTTCTGTGATTCCTGCACACTATAAAGGCTCATTCAAATGTATCTGTTTTACTTTTAAATTAGATGTTTAGAAAAGAGAAAGAAAACGTTAGAAAATACTAATATACGTAGCTGGCTAATTTTATATTGGTTATATAGGAGTTTGTTGAGCTGGAAATTTAATATGTACACCACGGAAAATGTGAAAAGATAGGCACTTCGGGGCATCTCCCATGAAACAGAGTACTTGAAGGCAATAGTGGCAAAATGTGTTGCAAAATAGCACTGCAGTTTGCTAATAACGGAGAGTGCATATTTCCCCACACGCCTCTTCGTTAGTCACGCCTTTCCTGGGCTTTCAAGTGGCAGCTCACACACAGGTCAACAGAGCGTGAATGGCAGTTGTAAGAATTTCTAAGTAACGATGGGCCAAACTCCGTTCACTTGAACAGAGTTCAAACCCCCGCTTGCACTTCTGACGGTGATGATGATGTCTCACCTTTGGGCAGGCTGCCTGTGAACATGCCGAATTCCTTATTGCTTAAAACGGAGACCGGGTGGCATCCCCAAAAGGATGCCGCGAGGACAGAAGCAGCTCGCGTGCCTTTGGATGCATCCAGAGCCCGGGGCACGAGTACCGAGAGCGGCAGGAATGAAAGCAGGAGGCTGCTGAGGGCTTCCCAGTGCGGAGCCACTGCTCGCAGAACGGCAGAGGACACTCAGGTCAGTGCTCAGCTGCTGACAAAAAAGCAAACGGGCAAGAGAAGAATTATTAAGGAAAAGAGATACATCAAATGACATCGTTATGTCGTTGCGTTATTGGAGCCTGAATCTTGAAGGACTTGAAGGAGACCAGTAGCAGGAGTATGGGGATAATCAGAAACTGGGAGTCCACAGTCCAGAAAAGAGAGAGCTGATAGAGATTTGCGGTATCGTGAACGACTGAGATAACCGGGAGTGGTGGCTCGCTCTCTGTCCTAATACGGGTACTAGAGAACACGGAATGAAGTTGTCAGGAAGCAAATTCGAAATACACAACATAAGCGCCTCTTAGCATGTCATTAGACACATGTAATTAAAAGGCAGAACTGATTGCTGCAGTAGCTTAAGTATGCTGAAAGGGTACCTGGTTTCAAAAGCGATTAGGTGAATTCACAGCTTAGAGCCATTCAGCATTATCAAAATAATGTCACCTCTGAGTCTGGAAATGCCTGAGCCACAGAGGGAGGTACCAGGAGAGTAGGAGGGAAATTACTGCTGTGTGCTTGTCCTCTTCTTACAAGCAAGTCCTTTGTGAGCCAATACCAGTATAAGGTACTGGTGGGACTTTCTGCCTCGAATCAGAATTGTGACTCCAACATCCCTTGAAAGGACAAAAATTGAGAAAATTTGATTTCTTAACTAAAATAGGAGGAAACTGAAGGAGGACTTGATAACAATTTTCAGCTATGTGCAAATCAGTTAAGGGAACAGCCAAGGCAAGAAATAATGAGATTAAATATCAATAAAAAAGATTCAGCTTAAACAGTAGAAAAAGCTCTCTGCTTGTGCAGGCAGAGGAGGTTTAAGAGGAGGTTAAAGAAACCTGGAAAGCTGGCCTAGGCAAGGCTGCGAGGTTTGACAGAGCTGAAGACGGGTTGGCGCTCCCTAAAATGTTTCGGTTTTTTCCATATCCATCAGCTGATTGAACAGAAGTTGTTATTTTTTCTGAAGCGTGCCGTACATCATCCGCCAGCTGTACTGCTACTACAGCTCCAATGCCATAGGCACTCTGGACTCTGACTGGGGGCAAGGAGGCAGATCCGATGGCCACTCCAGGTCCCCTGCGTGTCTTTGCATCCTCTGCTCTGTAACTTTGTGATATGCAAACTTCCTTTTTTGCTATTGATTCAGACGTTTGCTGTGTAGGTCTTAACCCGCACAAAGTATTTTTGCTTTTACAGGGTGTGGGTTTTTTCAGTCTCCTCGTTGACTTACAAGCTCATTTGAATTATACTATATATCAAAATTAATGTAATATTGACTTAAGTGTCAGATTTTACAGCTGTGAAGGGATACCGGTTAAGAACTGTAAGGGTGGATCCATGGTCTGTCGGTGACAGTTTGAAGATGCCTCCTGTACACATTGAAAAATTGACGTATCCTCAGCTCTGTTATCTCATTTACTATTTTTGGCTGTGCAAGCAGAGGAGAGTTGTGAATTGGGTGATGATCCTACAGCAGAAGCGGGGTTAAGACTGGGCTGTTGGCCAGAATGTCTTAGAAAATGGTCAAGTTGAGGGTGTTTTGGAGAACAGACAAGCTACAACAGCTTACCAGATGCATGTGTGTATGTGTATAAGTGAATCTTTTGGAACTAACACTGCAGTCTGAGAGGGGATTTAAACTAGGGCAGAAAGAAGGCATCTGAAACCACAAAACCTCATTTATTTTAGCTCATTTCAGTTTGGGGCTGGCAGTGTGGTTCAGTTCCTGCTTAGTTTGAACCACTTTACCTAGATTCACATCTCTGCCACACCTTAAGCAATTTGAGGCATTCTTTTATGTCATGTTCATCACTTTAATCCTCTTAATCCTTTTCCTAACAAAAACTGATCTTTTCCTAACAAAAAATAAATAAAATGACACCATATTTTTCAGGCACTTTAGCTTTCATGGAGCTAAGCAAAGTAGTTTTCATCAGCCCATATTTTTCCAGATGGTTTGTGATCTTATCTTATCGCAACCTCCAGGATCTTGCGGATGGCAGTGGCCCAGACTTGTGCATCTACAATTTCCTGAACGTTTTCAGTGTGTGCTGGGCAGAATTTCTGCTGCCTCGGTGTGGCTGGGGTCTCAGTGATGAAGAACAAGAGCCCATGTTCAAGATCCCTGTGTTGCATTTGCAGTTTCTCCACTGGCTGCAGTAGGTGCTCTCGGAAGCCTTTCTGCTTTTCTATGTCTCATGTGCCCACCTGGGGAGACAGGGCAATGGCTTGAGTAGGTTGCTTTGAAAGGCTTAGGTGAAAGACGACATTCCTGTTTTACCTGGTTTAGCCCCGATTACCCCTGCACGTAAGCACAGGGTTCTTGAGCAGCTGGCAGGTTCCACCTGCTCTAGTCTTGTGGGCTTGCACCTTGAACTCTGCGTGTTGGGTGATTTGTGACTTACTCTTCTTGTCTCCCAGTTGCGTAGGAATGATGGGCCAAATGCATGGCCATGCGTATCCTGCCTCTGGGAGTGGCTGGGGTCAGATGGGTTCCCGTCCCCCAGACAAAAGCCTCTACGGCTGCTGGATTTGGTTATAACTTGAGGGCAGGTCCTTGCTTTCCACTCCAGTTCTACCTGCTCTTTTGATAATCAGGATAAGAATGCC